ACAAAATTTGATTTTATTTATCTTGATTTCTCATTTATGTTCATGAATAGACAATTCTCTAGTGAAATAAAAAACAACAACAACCATGGATTAAACTAAGTTATTACTATTTCAATTTGAAATATTCCAAAATACCTACGTGATATTACAATGTTAATTTAAACAAACAAAATGTTACTATTTCTAAGGCTTTATCTGTTGTTGTTGTTGTTGCCGTTGTTGCTATCGCTGTTTTTGTTGTTGTTGTCATGAGAATTTGATTTTTCCAAAGAAAAAAAACCAAAGAACTAAATTTAAACCAAACCGTTTTGTGATAAAATATGGTTGATCATTGTTTGTTTTTTTTTTGTTTTGAAAAAACAAATAAGATTCAATGTCCAATACAGATTACCCCCCATTTAAATTAGAATCCATCGATAAAAACTATATATATAAATCATGATGTAATCTTCAAATTGTAATATTTGTTCTATCGATTATCAAATATAAAATAAAGTTAAGTCTTTATTTTGTTTTTCTAATTCTAAAATTTTATTCAATTGGTTTAAGACTACTGATTGATATTTAGTTGATTCTTTAGTGATCTTTTGAAATGATATTGGATCATTTTACAATAATACTACTTCTAGACTACTGATCATAAATTTTATGCTTTCATTAGACAGTGAATTTATCTTGAAATGAATGTGTTTCAAGATATTATTTACAATCGAGTTCTTAAGCTTGACGTAATCTTTAACAAGACATTAGTATCAGAATGAATTTGATAGAGAACTTTGCAGACATCAATAGCAGAGCCCTCAAATGTTCTGGTACGGCCGAGAGTGGGGAGAGTCCGCTCTCCCTCTCGAAATGTTCTCACATGGCCACGCGTATATAGCCTCTGCCAGGGAAGTCCTACTCACTGCCTTCTCGTGGCGAGGGTGTTGTTTACGAAATTGAGAGGACGAAAAGCGAATGTCCGGCGCTTTAACCGGGTTGGTGGACATGGAGAGTCCACCTAGAGGAGTTGGAAAACCCCCATTCTAAACCAATGGTGCACATGTGCTCCAGTATCCTGAAGGAACAAATGGCGTATGAACCAATCGTTGGTCATCGGCTACCATGGACTGCATCTCCTCACGATGCTCTACTGCCTTGTAGGTCAGACCTTTAGGTAAAGACTCGGGGTGTTGCCTCCTAAGAACACCAACTGCTTCGGTTTGGGCACCCGGGCAGTATCACAGCCCTCACACACATCAAATGAGATTTTTGTGGCGCATATCTATTTGGTGCCTCCTTGTAACAATATCTATGTGTTAAAATGAATAAATAAAATTAATAGCAGAACTTACTGTTCATCATGTTATATCCTAGCGAAGATTAAATTATAAGTAACTTTTGAGAACTATTAATCGGCAAATATATATATATATATATATATATATATATATATATATATATATATATATATATATATATATATATATATATATATATATATATATATATATATATTCCTATTGCATAACCGTTCATTAACTAGATTTTGTATACTCTATATTCCCCTTAAGCTTCATTTTGATCTAAAGATTATTATTATTATACGATTTACTGTTCTTAATTTATGTTCAGTTTATTGATTACAGCCTCTCACATTCACAGCCACCTTTTGGCTTGATCTTGTATAAATGTTATTTCCTAGTTTATGGTGTGATGCAGTCTGTTTGGCTGATATATAAACCAAGTACACATAGTGGAAGCTGTCATTTGTGTTCTGAACTCATTTGGACGGGCTAGGCAAACAAAGTGCCAATAAGGACACTAGCCTGTTCATACCAGTTGAACGTCATTGTTTTAGCACAGTACTAAGATTGAATAAGTGGTATTTTGATTGGCAAATAAAGCACATGATAACTAATTGGCCTTAGAGTCACAACACATCTATGTCTTCATTACAGCCAACCTTTGGAAAATTGAATTTACAAGCCTGCATTTTACCATGTGTAGATACAACCACTGGAAACACTATTTCAGAAAATGAACACGAGAACAGATGAATTTATAATCTGGAACCCTTTATCACCCATCCAACTGTTGGGAATCAGGAAGCAATCAACAACTCCTACTACTCGAGTTTGTGACTCCTCAGAAGTACACATTCAAGTGATTGTGCTCAAGAACTTCAGGTCCCTCAATAATCGCCTAACTGACTTTTAATTGTTTACAGATGACGCAACCATCTGTTAGATGGAGGATCTAATGCAGATAATTTTTCTCGAATACAGTCATTACCTTCAAATTTATCAAACCCTGTCGAAAGTTGAAATATCCAAATAAAGATCGCTTATTTCAGGTTAAACTAGTATTGACTTGAAGTTGAAGGAATTTAATCTGCTCTACTGATACATTAATTTGTGTGTGTCTGTGTATAAGCATATCAATGATTAGCTTTATCATTAAGACTTGACAAGACTCGGTAAAGGGTCTTTATAGAGAAACTGTAAACAATCATTGGATAAAATAGCGCAAATGGAATACTGACTTCAAGAACAAAGGTTTGTGTGTATGTGTGCTTGAGTACAAGTGTTTATGAGCGTGGATTAGTAAGATAAATTCATTATCAGCAAAGATTTAGTGCAGATTAATAATGTATGAATAGAGAGGAAGAGGTAAAATGGAATTATTTTCAAAATCCAAACGAATATCCTCTCTACTTATTTCACAATTATTCCACATAAAAAGTGATAACAATTGCACCAATGTATCGCGTTGATATTTAAAGTAAAAGGTATTCAATTTGAGTCTCGATGTGAACATTAAGACCAAGATATAGACACAAACAGCTGACGAGTTCTGAATAGTACGAAGAAGATGCCCTGATTTCCACTACTTTGGCATCAGACTAACTTTGATAAAAACTCATAATCATAATGACAATATAAAAGTGATCCTTTCAAGATGCCATAAAGAGACTGATCATTTACAAACCTTAACACATCAACAACAAGAAAGTACAAAACCTTTTTGAACAAAATTACAACAATATTTAAAAAGAAATACATTTGACATGACAATTGTAAATCAAAATTTCACCATTATTTACTGTTAGTGTTAAAGATTACTTTTTCTATTCAAACATGGAGTTTACACTAGTTGATCATTGAGCAGTGGTAAACATTGCCATTTCTGTCCAGCTCGTAGTGCTAAGTAGAGCTGATCAATGAAGTTGGCATTATGGCACACCATATTTCGATGTCAAATGTTTAAAAACAATTAGCTTGTAATGTTAAGTCACTTAGACTGGTGAACATACTATATCTTAATTGATAAAATACTATTCGCACTAAAGAAATGAATAAACACATGGTATAGGCCACAATAAATAAGTGACCTAGATATATCAATGTTAGAGAAGGTTGGTTTTGATTTAAATAGTTCAGCAGCAAGGTTTCTAAATATGACAGTGAGTAACGAGGTGAGCATTAATCGGTTGCCTCAAAATTGAAGATAAGTTGTGTTGTGATGAATAACATTTAAAATAACACTTGGCTTCCTCACGACTGCTTACTGTGAATCAGTAACTAAATACCAACTTTCACCACACCGTATTTATCTTGTAGTGTATAAAACTCAGAGATGAGGTCATTTTGAGGATTCTATGTTGAAACCATCAGAATCAGTGCCAATCTCCAAGTATGTAAAGCGGTAACTGTTTCTAACTAAATCACCATCATTACAATCACCTCCATGCTAAATGTTATCTCTTTAAATGATACTCAATAAGTTTCCAAAATTTTTAATGAAAATGCTCTAAAGATATTGTATTTTCTCAGCGTTTTCGTCCAACCTCATGCATGTAGTGAAAATACAAATTTCACTTAACTATATCTAAGAGAAAATGCACAATAATCAGTTAAGTATGATATTTTTTGGAAAGTTACCCTTTAGACAACTCACAGTCATTAGAAAATTTTATTCACTGTTGAAAAGTTTCATACTAGGATGAAACGGCTTGCTAGTGGTTCCTCGTTAACAACGATTGTTTAACTAAAATCAGTTCGCGATATAAACTATAAAATGATATACTAGGTCAGTCAGAAGTGGACCGAATAATAAATGAAAAGTGCTGATGGATTTGGGAGTTGATTTAACATTCAAAGAAAACAGAAATACTCTATTTACTGAAAATGCCGCTTAATTTTTTTTGAAAAGGAGATGTTGATAAGTCTTGCTATCAATACACCTAAAGTCTCTGCCCAGACGGTTTCTACAAACACAACTGCTTATACACGTCAACTTGAACAATAGAGAGGGAGCAAAATGCGAGTAAGAGCTTTACTCCAAGGTTAGTTTATGTACAGAAAAAAACGAGGGTATTTATAGTCGTATACGACCTTGGGTTTCTGGAAATCTTTGGGACCATAATAAATGTAGTAGCAGTATATGTAAATATCCAGTCTATACTATGATACATGATTCTAGATGTTTCTACGATGCCTCTGTTCAACGCTGATAAACTATTTCCAGGAGTTTCCGAGGCTCTAGAGATTTAGGCGAGGGATATTTTTGTACTCTCCCAGTGGATAGACATATATTCATGAATAAGTTGTGTACAAATCGTTGACTTGATTTAGCCAATAAAAACTTCCTAATCACTATAAGAGTTCCCACTCAAGTGGTTAGTTTAAGACCGCATATATATCGTTTTTATATCATCAGTAACAGGCTTTGGCAACTGCAAAACGTCCCACATGCGGGATCTAGGAAGTGTACTACTGAGGAGTTCCATACTAAGACAAAACGGTCGTCCAACGCTTCAAGATTTTCAGTGGTGGTCCAGCTTAGGTCGACTTATGAACTCAACTATTCAAACTACTACAATTTCCATAAATCCCCATTCTGATAAAGTCGCATTTTGAAAAATTATATACTAATAATTAGTGAAAAAGAGAAACAAAACTAGTAAGACCATGTTAAATAGAATAGTAACAACAATAACAAAGCTCACTTAATCATACCTTTGCAAATTTAATTGTAAATGATGGATGAGTTTCTTTAATTTGTTGTAATGCTTCATTGGCAGCATCTTCAGAGACAAAATCAATAAATCCATATCCTAAACAAAATGTATAAAAAATTACAACGATTTTAGTGTAAACGTTAGGAACAGAAAACATACGTCAAATTAAAAAAATAAAATAAATTTTTACAAGCATTACAAGCAAAGATGAATAGTGGCCAGCAGTGGAACCCTGGACGTGCGTTTTACCTTATTTAGGATTCGTGAGCTAGATGTACCTGCATCTCAGAGTTGATGTTCACTCTGGAACTCGAACCCAGTGCCGTTCGCTTAAAACGACATCGTGTTATCCACTTAGCTACTGAGTGAACATCAACTCTGAGATGCAGTTACATCCAGCTGACGAGTCCCAAATAGGACGAAATGCGCGTCCTGGGTTTCAGTGCTAGCCACTATCTATCTTTGCTTATAATTCTTGTAGATCAAGGCAATATCATGGCAATACGCGCAGTATGCACGTATGCCAATAACAGACTGATCAATTGCAGTCCTAAACATCAATCGAAAGATACAAGCAAAACAATACCAAGTGAATTAAAACCAACTTTTGTTTGCTAACAAAATGATAAGTTAATATTTTCTCTGTGATATTGTCAATGACTTAGATTCAATAGTTTAATATTGTTGTTTTAATTCAACCTGATGAGACTTTACAATGAATTTCTTATTGAATAATTTAGTGTATATTAGAATTCTGATGGTTCATTTGAAGTGAATGACAAAAGATTGATGTTATATCCCGATAAGAATAATGAATGATAACTTTTTGGATCCATTTATGGACCGATACAATGCGTATATTTCTGTTGTATAATTATTAAGTAACTAAACTGTTCCTATTCATGTCCATCTTATTGTGAGCTTTAATTTGATCTATGAACTATTATTATACGATTTACCATTCTTGAATTATGGCCTGTCCATTAATTACTACCTCTCTCATTCACAACCACATTCGGCTAATTCTTGTACAAATGTTTTTTCATATTTTATAGTACGTTGTGGTCTGTCTAGTTGGTATATAAACCCAGTATGCTTGAAATAAATCATCTGCAGGATATTTTATATTAGCTAGCTTGCTTCATTAGAACTTTAATAGGTACTAAAATCCTCTTTAAGCCACTTGGTAATTCTGTCATAGAATCTAAAACGAACTTCCAAAAAAAAATAATTAGTCCAAAATCCATGAATATGGTTTCATTAGGCAATTGATAAAACACACAAATACTCTCAGAGCTTATTCATATTCGACTGCAGAAACGTTGCAGTTAATTCATCACCACTATTCTTAGCAATATTATTTCTTTTTTTACTGTGATTTCTAAAATAAATTAACCAGTTTCAGATGTTATAATGATAACATTCTTACCGTTGCTCAGTATCCTCGGTATGAGTACATTGACAAAGGCAAGAAAAATGTATAACCCGGGTCATTTTCACTAACATGTGATACTACCAAAACGTTTTTGTATATTAAGAATAAATACAGCATAGTAACATCACAGTGTCCAACCAACATTTTATTCAAAATTACTTTCAATTACACTTTTATAGGTTCAGTCAAGGGAGACAATTCACTTTGGTGACATAAAACTAAACGAATATATATTGGAGCATCTATATATTCCTCCGTGTGTAGATTTATTATGCAATGGACAACGAACTGAAACTTGAGACATCCAATTTTACTTTATCCCAATCAAAACAAATGTTATTGAGTATAGTGAAGAAAGTAAAATGTAAAATTATCGCGGCTAGCATGGTGGAATTGACCAGCTAAGATGTATGTTTCACAAAAGGTTATCCAAATGACAACTAACTGTGCTTATGGCTGTCTTACGTATAAATATTGATAGACAGAGAAATATTCAGAGTAATCTGACTTTTAATACACTGATCAACCTAAGCCTCCTTCTTAACTTGTCGCCTGTACAAATCTACTAACTCAGTAAAAATGAGAAGTAGAATGACGGACAACACCGAATATTTTGATGCTTATTTAATAAAAAATTTTAAATTTCGTTGGCTTCCATGAGCATATGAGAAAAAATGTGTAAAAACAGAACTAATGAAAAACGAGTATATCATTTAGAAACTGCGGTGGAAATATAAACGATAAATACAATCTTTATAGTCTAAAAGAACAGTCAGCTAAAGAACCAGACGAAATCACGTTTCATATTGCGGAGGTTAAGATTGGTGTTCTGGACTTTAACTGGTTGGGTTAGGTAGGAAGCAGAACTGATAAGGACTCTAGACTGCTCGTATGGGTTTCATGCGTCACAGGTTCGATCGATAATTCACTGCTCGTTACGTTATACAACAACCAGGGCACACACGTCACAAGTTATAACAATTAACATTAAAGAAAAACAAGAAAAAGCCATGTTGGATAGTAACTGTACTTTAGAGACGAGCTAATCAGAATAGAGAAAATGAATTTTTTTCAAACATTTTTGAACGAAATTCACAAATAAATGACCTTCATCAGATATAACATGAAAATTACATCATCTTTGTATGGTGTTTGGAATACATAAAATTATGGTGTAAAAATTTCCTATAATTAAGCCACCGTAGAGTGAAAACGACTATGTAGAATATATGTAAAATATCAGGGTTGTGGAGATTGTTGAGTTATAATTGATATCATGAATGGATCAATGTTAATCCACCATAGGAAACCTAGACCGTTTCGTCCTAGTATGAGACTCCTCAGAGACCGAAGGTCCTGGGTTCGAGTCCCGTGTGCGAGATCATGGATGCACACTTCTGAGAAGTCTTATACTAGAACAGAAAGGCTGTTTAGTGCTTGCAGGTTTTCAATGGTGGCCCAACATTGATCCATTCATGAAACATGCTGATTCTAAATGACATGTGTATCAATAAGTTTTTACATTAATTTACTTCATTTATTGCAAAGACCCAAATAACTCAATTTTATTAGAGATTGATTAAATCATGAGTGAATCGGTGAAGTTAGAATGTGAAACTACATATCCATTTTCATATGTAATCTGTTTATATCTATTTTCTTGTAACTCCATCTAACTAAATCTTTAAAGGATAAAGATGATTTTATAGGCAGTAAATGAGTTTTCCATAAGAAGAATTCATAGCTATATAGTGTGAATATTTCCACATTGAAATTAATGGTATGATATAGAGATATCTTAACAGAATCGAAAAACTGATAATCATGATTAAAAACCAGAAAAAACTTTTTGAAACTCACAAAAATCCTAGGTGAGATTATAATTTAATTGTCTTCAGTGAGTTACTATCTCACAACAGACCCAGTTGAACTCGATTGGTCACAGCTTCCGAGTAGATTTCTAGGAAATACCTCCTGAAGCCAGTCACTAGCGATTTTTAAGAAGTTATTTTTTATTGACTAATTAATAATAATGAACTAAGATCGAATCCTTATTTCATATAAGATAAACCTCTGTCACTAGCTAAACTACAGTACATTTCTAGAATGAAGCAATTCAGTGACTAACAACTTTTTCTCTAACCCTGACGAGTAAAAGAAAATGAAATATCAGTTAGAAACACTTAATTACACCCCATTTACCGTTGGCAAAATCATCGATTTTTTATCCCGACAAGTAATCCATATATATATTACCATCTTAATTGCACAGAAATAATATGAATAAATTCTATAAACAATCTAGAAAACATACCGTTGATCCAACCACATATAAATGATGGTTTAATTGGATTAAATGATCAGTCATTATTTTGTTAGAATAGTTCTATACATCTTATAGCTTGAGGCCTTGTGACCTATTAATGTATTACGTAATGATACTACCAATTAAAGAGCATTGATTTATCGACCGAACCAATGATGCGTAAACCCGTACAAGCAGTATAGATTCCTTATCGGTAATTCTTTCTGCATATCACTGCCTGTTGACTCCACAACACCAATCTCAGCCTCCGCGATATGAATCATGTATTTCAAACATAATGGGTTTATATACAAACCAAACAGACCACATCGTACACTAAAATCGAAAATAACATTTGTACAAGATCTAGCCACAAAGTGTCTATGAATGAGGGAGACTGTAATTAGTAGACTGGACATAACTTAAGAACGGTAAATCGTGTAATAGTACTCTATAGGTCAAAATGAAGCTTATAATAAGAGGAACATGAATATGCATAGTTTCGCTGCTTAATAATTATACAATAAAAATATATGTATCGTATTGGTTCATAAATAGTTCTCAAGAGTTACCACTCATTATACTAGTCGGGAGAGTTAATTAGTGTTCTCTCTTTCTCCTTGTTTTTTTTTAAATTAGCGATTAGTAATCTTTTGGTTAGTAACAATGAAAGTGAATATAAATCAATGACAGTTAGGTGTTGTTTCTATTAAAATTCTTTAAAAATATAATTGAATAATGATTTAAATTGTTATTTAAATATAAAAGAAAACACAATACCAACTATTCATTAATAATAAATCGTATTTAATTTGAATTAATTTAGAATTTTTTTTACATCCTAGTATGGGACTCCTCAACAGTGTGCATCCATTAGTTACTGACTTCAAGCGGGATTTCCTGGAGTTCTAGTGAGAAGCAGTGACCAGTAGAGTTCAACCAAGTCTGTTGTGAGATATCAATTCACTGAAGACAATGGTGTACGGTAGCGGGATTTCGTGGATTGGTTGAAGTTAGACATGAACACCATTGGATGCCAGCCAACTCAGTGGTCTAGAGGTTAAGCGCTCGCGCTCGAGATTGATACGTTCTGGGTTCGAATATCGCAGGGGTAATGCTAGATAATGGATGTGCAATGTTGAGGAGTCCCACAATAGGGCGAAACGCCCGTCCAGTGCTTTCAAGTTTTCCATGGTGGTCTAGCTTCAATTGACTCATAATTTCAACTAGTGAAATTTGAACATTCATTATAAAATTAATTATAGCAATGTAAACAAAAAAGAAAGTAAACAGGAAAAATAATAATAACTGCATTTGAACTAGTGAACATGTTTTACAATAGAAGAGGGTTTTATG